TTGGTTAGGGTTAATATTCAAACATGTGGACGCAACGTACATGTAATATTAAGTATTCCCTTGACGGACTTCAAATGGCTGTGAGATATGGAATTCTTTCCTATCACGGTGCAGTACAACGGCCCGGTCATTGGTGCGGCCAGCATCAAGCACGACAGCACGCCCGGCCAGCCAAGCAGCGCTGGCCCCCTGCTGTCCGCTAGCCTCCACGTACGTGCGTGGGCGGGCTGGCTGGCTGTCCACCAGGCCCACTGGTTACATGTACGTGTAAAATACGCTTGGCATCGTGCACGTCTCTCGGACTGTACCATTTGTGATAGTGTTTTCACTTTATTCATGTTCAATAAATTGGGAAAACTGTGAATGATTGCTGTAAACAGTTGTCATTCCCAAATAAAAATGAGGAAAGAAAAGTGTGAGTATTTTATTTCATAAAAATCTACAAATGGGTCTGAAATGTGAAGTACATATTCAAAATCTTGAAGCAAAACACTCCTTGATTTTGGAAGTTGCTAAAGCTGCATAACACTGACTGCGTAACTGAAGCTGGGAGCCAGTTCGCCTCAGATTTCCCCGTTTTAACAAAATAAAGGAAATTTGGTATGAAGAGTTTTCTCAAGATGGCCAATACTATGACAACGTGTAATAGCGGACACCAGCTTTGGAAAACGAGGGATGCCACTACGCGTTTGTCACCGCGATCAAGGAACTTTGTTTACACTAATCCGCTTAGACCCCTATTCATCTGTGGAAGCACAGTGGGGGAAGCCTTTCATCAGGGACTTTGAAATGCCAATGTGCAAACAGGCCTGATACCGACCTGGAGTAAGCTGAATACTGGGTGAGCTTCATACAGGGTGGGCTACCGGGGGCCCTTTTCAAACCGGGTCTAAATGGTCGCCAGCCCTTAGTGAATACTAGAGTCCTCCTTTTCAACACCAACAGATTTCCTGCTTTCATTCCTAACTTAGTTCTATTAAACATTGGAAATTTTCTTTACAATCTTTCTGGTCAGCTACGAATATGACAACAAAGTGGCCAGACTTTTGGCCAAACATTGACAATGTGCCAAATGCACACAATACAAGTACATGTAGAGAGGTTTGAAGCAAACCATGCAAATTCATTTCAGCTACAAGGTTATTTGGCGATCTGTTTGGATTGCAATCAGATATTGTTCTTCGAAGAAAACGCTGACACTAGACTGTACCAGGCTCATAATTCTGTTTATATGGCAGCCATATGCAAGAATCTATACACCTAGCAAGTTTGGACAAAATGCTGGCATTCCATTGCATAAGATGGACAAACTTTATTCTAATTAATCCTGTCAAGATTTTCTTGGAGAAGACTTACCATGTCTGATGCTGTTCATTCGAGGACTAGTTCTTTATGGAATATCATATGGC